AGAAAGATTTGTTAACGTTCTTGTTACTTGTTTTTTTTTTATTTGTTTTTAGTTTCCAAATTTATTTTAACTTATTATTTAATTTATTTTCCAATTTTTCAAGTACATTGATCCCTTGATTTTGCTTTTTAAAAGGTGCCAATCTGGGTAAACTTATCTCTAGAGGATTTTCTCTGGAAAAAAAATCGCTTCCCAAAGTGATAATCTCGATCTGTAAACGCCGATTGTAAAGCTGATTAAAAATTTGAGCTTTTCTTTGAGTTTTTCTTTGAGAAGCTCAAAGAAAAACTCAAAGAGAAGCTCTTCTTTTTTTCTTTCATCTATCATTTTTTTAAATCAATTTTAAAAGAGATTTGACATGAAAGAGATGTTAAAAAGAGATTTGACATATTGAAAATGAAAATTTAATTGCATTCATCATTTTCCATTCAGCCTTATAACTGAATATCTTTACAACTGTAAGTTCTTTACAACAATTTTTCATTTCTACTCAAATTTCCCTTTAGCAGTAGGCAAATTTTATCAGTATTAGTAAAAGCGCAAAAAAAACGATGTCTCATTCACTTCGCAGACAGGTTTACTGCCAGTTTTTACTATTTTTTTGCATAATTAGTTCAAAACTGGACAAGGTGAGAGGAATTTTCTTATTCTATTTGAAAATTTACCTAGTATTTGTTGAGATCCTTGTAAACTAGTGCCCCAAATTTCTCTTTATTTGAATTTTTGGTTGGCAATCATTTTGAGTATTATTTTTCGTTCAAGTCTCAAGGAAAAAATGAGCCAAACAATAATGAGCTAAGTCTGAAGAAAATAAGCCAAACGATAACTGAATATCTTTACAACAATTTTTTTTTTCAAGAAAACATTTCCTTTACTAAATTCTTCTGTTTTGTTCTTCCGGATATGATTGTCTTCTTCTTCGCCTTTCACTGTTTTTGAGAGCTTCTATTTTTGAAGTTCTATTTTAAAATATCATAACGCTTTCAATCATTTTAACGATTGTTTTCGATCAAAAAAAAATCTGAGCCTTGTTCTGAAAGAAGTTGAAATTGTGAGAAGCTGGTTGGTTGGTCACATAGTTGCTTTTGCTGTTTTTCGTTGGTCAGCTTGAACTATGTAACGTGGATGTAAAGTTAGATAGTGTAAAGCTAGATAAGCTCTCTAAAGTTTGCCTGAATTATATCTGAATTTGAATTAAGAACTGTGGACAGAAGGCCGTAGAAGATAGCTCTGAGATCGGTCTATATGTCAACAGTTTGTTGAACATCATACAATATTGCCAGAAAAAAAAGGCGCAAACACACTATTTGATGTGTGTGTATTGGTGGGTGGGTTTGTTGGTGCCCCGAAGCGGGTTGTCCTTGTGGATGAGCGGGAGAGTCTCTGAAATTCGAGCCCTTCTTCCCCCCAGCACTCCATACAGTGCATACCATTCCACACATTTCCCCTCAACCAATGAATTATTTAGTTCTTCCCAGAAAGGTCAAACCACATTGTTCTTTTTTTTTTTTGCTTAAAACCTCTTTGGATTTTTCGTTGACAATCGATTTGAGTATTGTTTTTCGTTCAAGTCTCAAGAAAATGAGCCAAACGATAATGAGCTCTCAAAAAAATAAGCCAAACAATAATGAGCCTCAAATGATCGATAATGATTCCCAAGAAAATGAGCCAAGCGATTCTGTGAAGTTTTATAACATTGACCTCGATCGGGGGATTTCTCAGAGTATTTAGTAAAGAGAACGGAAAAAAGGGAACGTTTAATTTGTGGAACGAGTCGCCGATTGAACGTCGCAACCGTAAAACTCAAAAAAAAGGGATCGTAAAGCGGTGAGCTTTTGAAAGATAGTTTTTATTTAAAATGGCTCACTAGATCGAGTCAATGAGTAACTGTAAAGGAAAATTGTACTGCTTGTGCTGCTTGTACTGATTGTACTGCTTGTACTGATTGTACTGCTTATTATGTAAATTTACTTCAATTTTCAAATTCAGTTCATTCAGTTCATTCAGTTCATTCGGTTCATTCAGCTCATTCAGTACTTTCAGTACTTTCAGCTCATTCAGTTCATTCATTTCATTCAGTTCATTCAGTACTTTCAGTACTTTCAAAAGTCTTCCCTACTATCCTCCATTATCCTTACAGATATCCCAAATTTACATTTAAAACCGTCTTTTCATCAGTAAACCTTTTAAATTCCAGTTTGTCCATTTTATATTCAATTCATTCACCAAATGAACAATCGTGTCGCGCAATTGATATCGTTAAATGACCTTCAGATAGATTGGCTTCTTCAATTATGCAAATTGGGTCCAATCGTGAAATGCGCGTATCGTTTTAGAGGGTTTTTGCTTTTTTTTGCTCTCTTTACTTTCATGACAAAGGACAATGTTGCCAGATGGGTCCTATTGTGTGGCTACTCTTTCCCGTCTTTCCCTTGTTCCCCTTCTTCCCCTTCTTTCCCTTCTTTCCCTTCTTCCCCTTCTTCCCCTTCTTTCCTCTTTGATAGACTGAATTCCTCTTGTCTCCTTTTTACTTTTCTTTGAAAAGCCTGTAAATTGTAACACTTGTCTCTTCAAATGTTTCTTCTTTTCTTTTCTTTTCAATTCTTCTCTTAAACTTTCCTCTTTTCTAAAACATTTGCAGCTGCATGGATAAAGTCTTGAACTAGTTTTGATTTTAAAAAGATAGATTGGCTTCTTCAATATAGTCAAGTCTTGAACTAGTTTTAATTTTAAAAATACATACACACGATGATTGTGATACAAACAATACAAAATCTCTAACACTTTAGAGATTACTGTAGTACAAAAATGAATGAGTTCTAACAAAACGCTCACTGATCTATTTACCCAACATCATTTCATTGAAGCCTTAAACTTTACCCAACAGCTCAACAGCTTCAAGCTTCATTATCAAATGTAAACGTCAATTGATTCAATTTTATCCAAGATTCAGCTTTCAAATCTTCCCCAATCTTCCACTAAAACATTTCTTTGCCTCAAATCTTCCCCAATCTTCGAATCCCCACCCATGTCGTGACCACAAATCTCCTCCCATTCTCTTCGCTGTCACCAATTTCCTTTTAACTGTTTTACCCATTTTACCTGTCCAATTCTCCTTCTGTCGTCACCCGTTTCTCTTCAAAAAATGGCCTTCACTTGATTTCTTGTTTTTGTCGACCTCGAAATCGTTTCGAATACTAATCTTGGCTTTTTTGACTTGTTAAAAGATCACTGCTAGATACCAAAAGCAACTACTAAATTAGATAATAATAAGAATTTGATAGGAAAAGTTTTAGGCAAAGATTCTTGGTTCTTGTTCTTGTTCTTGCAAATTTGTTCCAGTATTCTGCGTCACTATTAAATCTGAATTCAAATCTTTATCAATCATCTAACTATTGGATTTTCATACTAAATTCTTTGTTTTTTGATCACTTAAAAAAAAGCAAGGCTCTTAGCCAGATTTCGATGACCTTTACCTTTCAGCAAAAAAAAGAGAAAAGCAATTGGCGTCCCATTCCGAAAACCGTAATCCACTTTTTTCTTTTCTTTTCTCTTTTCATTCTCTAATGAAATTTTCCTCTTATGGTAGAAGAGAAAACCATAAAATTTGATAGACAGCGGAGTCATTCATCGATGATCCACCTGTGTTGGAGAGATTGAAAGGGGTGAAGGGAGTAGATGGGATCTCACCTCGTTGCGGTCACTTGTAAGACTCGGACCAATTGTAAATCTTCTTTTGAATTGACTGTTTAGTGAGGGTTTTTCTTCGGACCAAACTTTAGTGTGACATCAAGAAAGAAGCTTTTTTTGTAAACAAAAGAAGGTTCTATCGCTATCCCATAGCTGAGTTTCGGAATTGAAATTGGTTCAACTTGCTTTGTTGAACTTGCTCTGTTCACGGCTTCTATCTAAGCCAAGGGATTTCTAAGCCACTTCAACCTACCTATATTGTAAGCCAAGGGATTTCTGAGCCACTTCAACCTACCTATAGTAAGCCAAGGGATTTCTAGACCATTTCAACCTACCTATATTGTAAGTTTGATTTTTTTTGATTTCATTTGATTTTTTTAAGCTTGAAAACTTGAGCTTAAAAATCTCCAAATTCATTTTTCTTTTTCTTATTTTTACAAGTTTTGTGAAACACTTTTTAGAACTCAGAACTTTTCAAAACAAAATTCTTAACTTGTTTTTTAAAAAAAAACAATTCAAAAACTCTATCCACTCATGTTGATCAATCAAAATGTCACCAAAGGAGTCATGGAAAAAAAAGGGAAAAAGTAACATAGATAAAATCTTGGATCGCTCTCTAAATAAGCATACCAAAACTTTGCCAATCTCGTAGAGACAAAGAGATAAGATGAGAGAAAAAAGGCGGGCCGCAAAGGCCGCAAAGGGGGAAAATGGGGAAAGTGTTAGTGATGGGGTATCTTTAGATTGAGGAAGAAAGGGTGTGAATGACAGGAAAGGGGAGAGGGGTCAAAGAGGGAAGGGCGGAGCCACTCTCTCCCCTCTCCCAAGCTCTCTAAACATGTGCCGCCTATGGATCGGAATAGGTGCCAACCATGGGAAGAGTTCATTTCTTCAGCTTTATGATTTCCGAATTTCCAATCAACTCACCTGAGATTATCATTTATTTCTTTATCTAGTTTACTAGTTAGTAAACTGGCAGTGAAGATTGAAAAAATACAATTGGCAAGGACAACTTATTAGTTTTTTTATTATTTATTTCATTATTTCATTATTACTTATTATTCCAATTATTTCAATTCTAAAAAAGCAAAACTCTTTTCTAAATCAAAAGCTATTGACTTAGCAAAGTTGTGTCACTTTTTTTTTCCTATTTTTTTCTGACTTTGTTTGCGCTCAAGAAAAAAGAGCTCAAGAAAAGTCTGGTGCTAATTTCTGTTGGTTTATATTTTCTAAAAAAAGCTTGCTAACAATTTGAAAGTTTTAGATAATAACTTCAAGATATTTTCTAAGAACTGAATTCTTTTTTGTGAATGGAAAGGGCTCGAGTGCCCCCGGTACTCCTGCGAATTCCGGGGCTTCCACCGAGGCCGGTAAATGTGAAAAAGGTGAGAGATTTGAGCTAAAAAAACCTATTTACAACATTTCATTTTCTTTCTTTTCATATTCTCAAAGTTTCAGCTTCGTTTGTTGGCTCGTCTTTTCCCGTCGGATGCGTCGAATGGTGGGATCTCGTATAGTCTCGCATCGAATCAAATCACGCTCGAGAATGCGGCAAAATCGCACTCGAAAAACGCCTATGACACGATTTTTGGGCCCGAAGTCAACCAGGTGAACGGGGGAATTGAGAAAAAGCAAAAAGCAACATTTGGTTCAACTATTTAATTTAAACGACTACATATAAAGTTTCTCGTTTAATATATATGCTTTATTCAGTTTAATATATGCTTTATTCAGTTGAATAGCGACAAAACAAAGATCACAATAATTACCCGGAACACCACTCAAAGCAGACACCCAAAAGATAAATAGATATACCTCAAGAAAGAATCACAGAGCAGTCAAATCAGTTGCCGAAATTGCGGTTTTAAATCTAGCTTTAAATCTAGTTTTAAATCTAGCTTTAATCTAGCTTTAATCTAGCTTTAATCTAGCTTTAATCTAGCATTAAATCTAGCTTTAATCTAGCTCTAATCTAGCTTTAAATCTAGCTTTAAATCTAGCTCTAATCTAGCTTTAATCTAGCTTTAAATCTAGCTCTAATCTAGCTTTAAATCTTTAAATCTAGGTGGGGAATATCAATAATCAATCTGTTTCTACAATAATCAATCTTTTCAATAGTCTTTTCAATCTCTTCAATCTTTTCAATCAATGTTTTCCAGTTTCCATTTCCAGCTTTTCAGTTTCCTTTTGAAGCACTTCAGAAAAAAAGGCAATTGAAATAAAGTATTGAAATAAAATAGGAAACCAATCGTTCAGTTTTTGTCTTTATTTCAAGAGAACCTAAAAATATTACAATGTTTTGGAAAAAAAAAACGAAAAATGGCCGGCTGTTTGAAATTTGAACCGTTTCAAGTTGGGTTTTTATTTCATCAGAAAAAAAAAGCGAGGAGAAGATACTTGAAAAAAACGCGAAAAAAAAAGCGAGATATTCGGGTAAAATGAACACCAATAATGGGAAATGAAGTGAAATTCGTAGCAAAAAATTTAGGGATTATAGCAATTTCTGAAAAGTGTAACTCTGAAAGTGTAATTTCTGAAAGTGTAACTGAAAGTGTAACTCTGAAAGTGTATTTTTTGAATTGAAAATATTTTTCAGGACGAGCTCACCGCATCGGTTTTACCCGATCTTTTACAATCGCTATTTAACGGAACCGATTGCTCATTGCTCACTTTTGGAGGACATTCAAAAGGTTGGTGAAAAGGGGAATTTAAAGTTTTAAGTTTTAAGTTTTAAATTGCTAAAATCAACGCCAATCGTATGCTTACCCGTTTGCCAATCTTAATTAAACTCGAAATTTTGAAAGAATTCAATGTTTTTTTCGATCAAATTGGATAAAACCCTTTTTTTTCATTTCCATTTTTCTTTTCTTGATTTTCCTTGAGATAACTACCCTTTTTCTTTTTCCCTTTCTTTATGCACTCCAAATTTTAACCTTGAATATCTATCTAAAATCTCATTTGTGCTTTGAGCTGAGGAAACTATGGTTTACAATGAGTCAATGGGGTTCAAGGATTAAAAACAAACAAAAGATATTTAAAGATGTTATCAATGATGATCAAATATTATAACTTATTATTAGTTTTTGAATTGAAAGCCAGAGTTTATAAGTTCGAGAGAGTCAGAGCTGACAAGAAGCCTAGGCTGCAGCTGTTAGAGCTGACAAAGAAGCCTAGGCTGCAGCTGTTAGAGCTGACAAGAAGCCTAGACTGCAGCTGTTAGAGCTGACAAGAAGCCTAGGCTGCAGCTGTTAGAGCTGACAAGAAGCCAGGCTGCAGCTGTTAGAGCGACAAAGGCCAGACTGCAGCTGTTAGAGCTGACAAGAAGCCTAGGCTGCAGCTGTTAGAGCTGACAAGAAGCCTAGGCTGCAGCTGTTAGAGCTGACAAAGAAGCCTAGGCTGCAGCTATTAGAGCTGACCCAGGCCAGCAATCGGCTTGACCAGGTTAGTATTTTTCCAGATCTAATCTAATTGCCTTTTAAATAAGCCTAATGTAATGTATGTTATAAACTCAGATTTAGGACCATCGAACTCTTTTCCCAATAATAAAAGCCATTTCTTGGGGTGAGTCCCACAAAAATCTGGTCGATTCAATCAAACAACCTCCCTTCTGCATTGGGGTTACTTAATCTTTATGTGAGATCATCGTTTTTTCTCCTTTTTCTTTCTTTTCTTCACTCATCTCCAAGATAGACACAATTTTATGGGAAAGATTCCTCATAGAATGGTGCCATTGGCAGATGCTTGCTCGAGTCAATTTCCTCGCTTTGCGTCTCATTCTTCAATCTCCAACTATCACAATATTTTGATCTTGTCTAACTGATGTACTGAAAGAAATTCATGAAAAAGATCATAAATTTGAGCAAAATTTAAGCAAAATTTGTTTTAACTAGACTTTTTGGTTTTGAATGATAGGTTTTGTTTTGTTTTGAACACTCTTTTGACAACAGAAAGCTTTTGTCACAATATGCAAAACGAATTCTTTACCAAACACATATTAGACCGCCTGTCCTCGTCTAATCGCGATTGCGTAAGAGGTTTTCTACGAGAAGATCTGTTCAATCTTTTTCTTTTTCATTTCTCATTCCAGCTGGTCCTCGAAGTCGCAATTTTGTGGTGATGTCGAGTCTGTGGGGGAGAGTAATTTTGGTATTACCCCTGATATTGAGGCTTTTGGGGAAAGGGGAAGCTGGGAGGTAAGAGTGAATAGAAAGAGTGAAAAGAAGAGAATGAACAGAGAATGTTGGCCGATCACGCAAGAGGTCACACTTAAAATAGAGTAAAGAATACTGTCAGGAAGACAATAGCGTAAAGTAGTAAGAGAAAATTGGAAAAATACTGGAAAATATTCAATATCTGTAATAATCTAGCTAGGCATTTCATACATTGTACGCTAATGTACAGGATATTTCTTATAGAGTACTAGGACCAGGAATTCCTAGAGTCCTAGGAATCAGGGACTAGACACTAGGAGACTAGGGTAAAAGAGTTTAATCTGTACCCTAGTAGCTAGATCTGTATCTGTACCCAAATTTCCCAGTGCTGAGTGTTCTGAGTTAATTCCCAATGCGAGAGTTGGCAATCTGTAATAATCTAGCTAGGCATTTCATAACATCTACGCTAATGTGCAGGACATTTCTTATAGAGTACTAGGAATCAGGCACTAGACACTAGGAGACTAGGGTAGAAGAGGCATTACCTGTTAATACTAGATCAATACTAGAGTACAGGATATCTCAATAAATAAATCGATTCCTCTAGCAGATCCCACCAATCCATTTATCCATGCACCTATCAATTTCACCTTCTCCATTTCCTCATAAGGATGCCGATCTCCCTCATTACCAATTTTGTTCTTAGACGACAAAAAAACGAGCCGCTCCTCCTTATGATCATTTCTCTCTTATGGTTTTTCTTTTTCCCGGATTGCGTCACCTCGTTCCGAGAGAAGAAGACCGCTTTGGGTCAAGCTGTAAACGATATAGATTTAAGGGAGATTTTGGCAAATAACAATATGGGTTTGAGGATTTGAGAATAGAAGATTTATCTAGATAAACTCTTTTCTCTTTTGCACATGGCAAGAAAAAAAATTGAGAAGCAGGACACCGATTAGCCGGATAACAAATGAGGACCTTCAATAGGGGAAGAGAAACAAGAGTTGTGTCATTTCATTGAGGAAAAGTGCAACATTGGTCATAAATCTTTTGAGAACTCATCCTCACACACAACTCACCCAAAGTCTATTGAAAAGAAAAGAAATTCGAAGATTTGTGTGAGGAAACTTTCGATTTATTGGACGAAAGAAAAGTGGGGTTTTGGATTCATTTTTGGATTCATTTTTTCAGGGTTTGTAAAGGTTTTGATTAGAAATAAAAAGCTATAAGGTTTTACCAAACATATGCAACACTTTTTTTGTAGCTTTCTACCACTTTTCCTTTGCTCAAAAATGATTGATTGGATGACAAATTGCCGTAAATCCCAGCTCGATCATTTTCGGGGGAAATTGGCGGTGGTCGATCCCAAAAATTTGTAAACAAACTTCTTTTTGGAAGGATTTTGAGCAAAGGCACGCAACTGTTTATATCTAGAATCTATGAAATCGAATGAAAATGAATAGTATGGCAATATTTGAATTGAAAATTTGAAGAAGAGTGGGAGCTATAGATAGATAGATAGATAGATAGATAGATCGATCGATAGAAGAGTAGGAACTATAGAGAGATAAATAGAAGAGTAGGAACTATAGATAAATAGATAGATAGAAGAGTAGGAACTATAGATAAATACTTTTATACTCAGATCTTCTTCTACGGCTTTAACTAAGTAAAATGCATTCAGCTTTCTTTTTCAGGTAAAGAGGGTTGTCTGTACGAGAGTGGTCCGCTCAATCTCGGCCTCTACCAGAGCGCTCTTCAATGGACATTTCGACTCGTTGAAGAATATAAACAGACAAAACCCGAGTACCGTTTCTCTGTCCGAATCTCAGCTCTCTATTTCTCGCAACGGGACAATGAGCTTATCGATTTGTTCAGTCAATTCAATAGCGGTTAGTTGAAACATTTAATTGATCCTCATAAAATTGATCCTCATAAAATTGATCCTCATAAAATTGATCTTCATTTAATTGATCCTCATTTAATTGATCAAAACAAAAGATCAAAATCTATAGATCCTCGACGACATGAAGTAAAAGTAGTTGACGATCCATCAACAGGGACTCGAGTGGAATTTCAAAGTGAACTGCGCGTTGAATCGGCTGAGCAAGCTTTGTTCTATCTTTCAACAGCTATCGATCATCGATTGATAGGTTTGACTCTTTAAATCTTTATTTCTAAAAATTTTACATAAGAAAGCACAAAATCAGTATAAGATATATTAAGAATATTAAGAATAAATCCTTAAAAATAAACTTTAAAATTCAGAAGACGAGGATTCCCATAGAGTACGGCATCTTTTCTTCACCATCGTTCTTTACGGATTCCGATCGGGTACTGGTGGGATTGAAGCCGGCGGGAAAAGTCGATTAGCAATTGTGAGTTTAAAAGCTTATTAGATTTATCAGAAATTATCTATATATTGTTATAAAGAGCTTATTTTTATCCGAGATTTTTTCATTTTTCTGTATTTCTTTTTCAGGACTTCTTTCGCAGCCGCCTCTGGCTTGTGAGCTTTTCGAGTGTCTTTTTAGTTATCCTAAAATTTAAAACCGTACTAATTTCTCCTTTTTGAAATGTCATTAACTAGTTCTTATATTGATTTTGAGTTGTTTTATGTAGTTGATCAACAAAGTTTAGGTCGATTTGGGAATCGGAGAGCGAAACTCGCAAAAAGGCGAGGTGACAATGCCAGTGATTGGGAATATGTTATTAGCGCTTTATCAAGGACAGAAATACATTCCATCAAAGTGAGTGTTGGGAATTTATATAAAAATCTAAACAATAAAGACTATGGGTTTTACTTTACTCTACGAAAATAGGCGTCCTGTAGCAAGAGAATGAGACTTACTTAGAGCTTACTTAGAGCTTACTTAGAGCTCTGGACTTTAACCCAAAGGGATAGTTTGTTTAAAAGATTTTAAGTTCTAGAATAGATATTTCTAGAATAGATAATAGATATTTTATGACATAGACAGAAACCTTAGCTTTATATCTTTAGCTAAGTTTTATTTCACAATTTTTTTTGTTTCATTCCGCTCGCCTTTCTCTCGAGAACATGTTCACTTTATTCCGCAAAATGAAAAAAAAAGTCGAAGAGAAGTCGAAGAGAAAAAACACGGCACCCCGTACTCAGAATGGGTATTTCCCATAGCATTTCGATGTCTTTCCCCCTCTCAATCTCTTTTTCTCGTCTAAATAATCCCCGTAGTGCTTTCCTCCATCTTCAAAACGTCTTTGATCTTGCCGCGCACCTGAGCAACCAGGTTTTGACTCAAATTTTGAAAAGGGAGTTGGAAATCTTCAAAATTAAATCTAGAAATAGATATTTTTAAAAAAAGCCTAAAAAAATGCAAGATTCACTGTAAGTTTTGACCTTGAAAACTAGGAGAAACAGTGGGTAATTTGTAAGCTAGAGCTAGCTCTTTTGTGACTTTGTTGGAAACGATTTTTTTGATTTTTTTTTACAAAAAATTTCAATTAATTTCAATCTCGATTTAACACTTTTCTCTTGTAAAAATCGGAAAATGATTTAAAATTTTAATCAAGAAACCGGCCAGTTCATTTAATCAAGAAACAAGCCATTTCAAGAAACAAGCCAAACAAGCCATTTCCTAAAATCAATCCCATCGCAGTGTTGATAAAATTTCGGACTCAAAGGATAAAGAAAAGATCTCCAGGGAGAAATAAAGAAGGCTTTTGGGGGGTAAATGCATACGGAAAAAAGAAACAAGCAATTGGTCAAAATTTGGCGTTTTTCTTTGGTTGACTTTAAAATCTTTGAAGAAAGAAAGAAAGAACAAAAAAGGGATTTGGGATGACCGAATATGGGGTGAGAAAGTGAAAAGGGAAAAAGGGGAAAAGGGTGAGGATGAATTTTGTGTATTTCTGAGCTGGCAGTGACCCAGGGGAATTCTAATGGAATTCCCCTTGTTCTCCTCTTTTTCCACGTTTCGTCTTTCCTTTTTTTTTGTTGAATTTGAGAAACTCAGAGGGAAGGGGATGACTACGAAACTTTCTCGACTTTAAGATCTCTTTTTTGGTTAGATAAGGATTGAGATTCGAATTTGGCTTGCATTTGACGGACAATTTGAAACAGTGAAAGAAAAGTGTCAAAGCAGTCAAAAAAGCAGTCAAATCCAGCAAAATGTGGCATAATCAACCTCTTTACAAGTGCATGAGTCATAAGGCTCATGGTCTATTGCCAAGTTTGACTTTTTGTCAACAAATTAACTTGTAACTTTTTAGAGAAAACATTTTGTGTCGCTTGTTGAAGATTGCATTGGGACCATCGAAAAACTCGACACTTTTGTGCACATTCACCGAGCGAAATGACGAAAACGAGAATATGCTACAGTTGGCGGCGAAAATCGCACGTGCAAAAAAGAGCTCAAGACGGGTAAAGGTGGGGATCTATTAGATTGAAAAGATTGAATTCGAAAAAACTATCAATCAATCATCTATCATTTATCAAATTGTTCAGCCAATGGGTGATGGCACTTCTCTATCGTCTGGTTCGTCGCGAAGAGGTCCTCGATCAGAGATCGAATCATCCAGTGAAGCTGAGACTGTGATTTTCATGGGACCGATTGCGAATGGGTAAAGAGTCACAATGAAAATGAAATTCTAAGGGTTGAGAAGTTATTCTACCAGAATTCCTTTAGATCTAGAACTTTGTTAGAGCTAAAAATGTCAGAAATCTTCTTTACCTACTAAGCTTTCAAAATATTCTTAGAATCAGACTTTTCTCTCCTAAGTGTGAAAAACATCTATATTTACCCAGTTTTTTTTCTTCTTTCAGTGGATCTCCCTCTCGACTGCCTCCCAGGGCCCAATCATCGAGTTCAGCCCACTCAGTGGCCACTCTAACAGACAAAGATCCACGATCAACTGCTATCAGTCCATCTTCCAGTTCGAATAGACCATTGACTTCAATTCCACCGCTGATGAAGGTAAGGGAGTTTGTTTTTGGAGCTAGGAAACAAAACAAAAAAAACCCGTCTGGGACTCGAACCCGCGACCCTACCACTCTCTAGGCAAACGCTTTACCAATAGACTACGACGTCATGTGTTCCGACGCCGTCAGGACAGCCTCTTATCCCTTATTGGGGTTATTTTGACAATGCTAATTTAAATTTTATTATAGGCATTATCTGTGTAATAATGCTCAGGTTTTGACTTGTGAATGCTTTTAAATCTAAATTTCTCAACTTTCAGAATCACACTCCATTTTTCTCACCGATCAGTCGTTTGTACGACGATTTGTGCAGTCCAAGCACCTCCGATGCGCCCACGCCTTTCTATGTGAGTCGAAAAAGATTATTTATTTATCTAATTGATTAATCATATTATTGAAATAATGTTTTCTTAAGGCTGCCAACTTCGACGGTGATGGTCTCGAGCCTTACGTTTCTCCGGATCACTCGCCGAGGAGATCGAAATCAAGGTGAGGCAAAATGATACGGTAATTTGGCTATTTTGGCATGAAAACATGAATTCAATCAAATTCTAATCCCAAAATGATCCCATTGTTTGTTGTGGGACAATGTTTTCCTTTTCGGCTTTTCATTGAGAGTTGAGAGGGGAAATAATTGTTGAGAAGAATGGACGGGATGCCAGCCGAAATTTGCATACAACTGCCTGAATAAACAGTGAGCACATATTACATGTGAGGGAAGATTGGCTCAAATTTGAGAATAAAATAGAGAAAGGAATGGGGGGAAGGGGAAAGGGCAATTCCGAGCAACATTATACCCGTTTTAACGGTTTAAAATGAAAATGTTAAGCCGAAACTTTAGGCAAAAACTTTAGGCAAAGTATCGACGAGGAAAAGAGAAAAGCGATTTTGGATTGGATGGATGGACATGAAGCGGAAACGACTGATACGGCGATACAATGTGGAGAGGGAACAGTGGGGTTAATTGATTGGACCGAAACGGATAGGGATTCGAATGGAAGGTGGGTGATTGGGGTTCATTTTTCTTCAAGAATCTTCAATTTCTAATTTCGTTTTCTAAAATTTGAATAATTGCATAACAAGAAAAGAGGAAATTTGTAATTGTGGGATTTGTGAGACTGCAGTTTTTTTTTTGGGACTATTGTTGATCATTTGGTTAGAGTTTTCAGTCAAAATACACCTCTCGAACCTCCCGAACCGATCAGATCTTCTTTCTAAACTAGAAAAGTTGACTTTAAAAAAGACACTACTCACTTTATTACATATTGTCTGAAGAATTTTAGCCGGGTATTGGTTTTTTACCATTTTGTCTGTCTATTTATACCCTCCAAATGATCCCCAAGTCCACTCCACTAAACAAACGCCAAATTTTATGAGCATTACTCTACAGCTAAGTTTAAGGCTTTCTCTTGGTAACCGATTTATCACAATCCCACCTACTAGCCCAATATACACAAAATCAATCACTGAAACGATGACCTGAAAGTGACGAGAAACTTTTTGCTAGCCATTTACCCCCAGAAAAAACTCTTGATCATTATGATCGATACCTCGTTTACCGCTCTTTTCTCTCTTTCCAAAAGAGTAATGCTCATAAAATCTGGCGTTTGTTTAGTGGAGTGGACTTGGGGATCATTTGGAGGGTATAAATAGACAGACAAAATGGTAAAAAACGAATACCCGGCTAAAATTCTTCAGACAAACTTTACTTTAATCTTTTTGCCTGTTCTTAGAAGACTTCTGGAAAACTGCTCAAGCTGTACTAGTTGTAAGAATTCTTATTATAAGTCAATTTTCAAACTAATGATTTTTGACCTTTTGCTATCACTTTACCTTTCCCTGGGAAATAAAGGAATGGATCTCAAAGACATTTACTCAACTTCAAGAGCTCTTTCAAAAAGGGGGGAATCGAATGATTGAGAGAGTCACCTGGCCCACTCACCAACGATTTGTCTTTCTTTTTTGTCTTCGCGTTTTTTTCCTCAGATCAAAGATAGATCCATTCATGAGGCTAGAAAAACAACGATAGATTGAGAAATTGGCTCAATCATTCATTGAGGAGGTGGGGAAAAGCGAAAGAATACCTGAAAAGTTGAAAGTTGCAGAGAATTTGTTGATAAATTAGGTTGTTTAGATAATTTTTTTGTTTAAAATCACTAATGAATAGCTTTTTTTAGAGTTTTGCCTCTTCCAATAAAAGAGAAGTGAGTTATTTTTTAAGTGTTCGGATTGGTTGCCTGCTTGAAAGACATTATCATCTCTCAAAAGAAGTTATTACCTTAGCAAAATCATTCCTGTAATCTTAAACCAACCGTTGAACCACCGTTGAACCCAAATTTGTTGTTGAAAGTCTGTAAAAGTTATAGATAAGTACTGTAAATTCTAAGAGCAATAGTAAGTAAAGTAACGTAGACTTAACGGTTATAGATAAGTAAGCACTGTAAATTGTAGTACAAGTACCATATAATGCGAAGATTACAGTCTTGCAAAGTTTTTGATTCATAAGTCTACATAGTTCTAGAATGTATAGATTAACACTAGACTATCACTAGTTTAAAATCACTAGCAAATCTAGCACTAGATTAACCAAGTTCTAACTTTATTTTACAGATCTTTCAAGCTCAAAAACCCAGATCTTGTCACTCATTTGCTGCAAACGTTAGTATATCCCGGATCTCAAGCTTTAGAGAAAAAAAGAGGTGCCCAAAAAATGGGTCTCCGATGAGCGATGTGATCCCATCTCCTTTTCCTTTGACTGATCTCTCTTTCCCCATTTTCCCCTCTGATTGTCCGGCCATTTGTCCCTCGATTGCTCTTTCCTTTGCACCGAAAAAAAAACTTCCGATTGAGCACCAAGTACTTCTCTATCAATCATCGACCACCCCCCGGAATTAGCTCCACCCTATCTGAATTATCGTTTGAACTTTCGTTCTTCATCATCTTGATCGGTTAGCTCATTTCAGAGCGGCCAGCCTACCTGAGCTATGAAAAAATTCAAACTCTCACGCACGTTAAAGACTTTTTCTTGGATATTTTAAATTTTAAGCATCATTCTTAATGTCTTTCATGTTTGCTTATGCATTCATTTCATGTCTGAATTGCGACGTTTGCAGGTTATCCCCTGAAAACCTTCCCCTTCCCCGAATGACTCCCCCAACTCCTCTTCTCATTCCATTACCCATCTACCCGAAACCCACAGCCATTGATGAAGTGAAAAAACCAAAGAAATCCCCGATCAAAAAGACACGAGTTGTCGAGTCTGAACCAAATGTGATGCTCGCGATATTTCTCTATGATTTGTTGAGAAATTATCAAGATAGGTTGGAATGAGACTGAAGTGTAACACAAATTTTACAATGATTTTACAATGAGATTTCTTGAAAAAAAAACAAATTTAAGGGAACCCTGGCTACCGCAGAGGCCGCCGTTGGAAGATATCATTGAAATGGATGAAGAATCGATGAAAAGTTCGATTCGATCATTGAAGAGGTTCGTTGAACTCTATGGATGAGGTATAACTTGTTTCAGGTCACAAACAAATGGCTATATCAGTCGAGGAGAGCGGGATCGAGAGGCTTTAGCTCAACGAGATCCCATCGATCATCCATTGTCGATTCTGAGTCGAGACGGGCTGAATAAGGTCTCGTCGACGAATGACGAACCTTTCAAGCAGGTATGTTTCGAGGAAATTGTAACTGTGAGCCGAAAAGCTACATTAGTGGTGAAATTTACAGTCACTCATGTGACACTAATTTTATAGGATTCAAAAACCAAAAACAATTTCTTCCGAGTAATTCGTTTTTTAAAGCGCAAATTTGGGCAAAATTGCAAAAACAATGGCGAAAAAATGACGAACGACGAATTATATATGACTCCGTTTAAAGATATTCAGCGATTTAACTGATTTGGTGGAAAATTCCCGTGAAAATAAAAGATATTCAACCGTTTGATTAATTTGGTGCCAAATCCTCTTCAAATGTAAAGATATTCAGCCTTTTAACTGATTTGGTGAGAAATTCCTTTAAAATGTAAAGATATTCAATTTACTCGAAGTGTAAAGAGGATTACTCGTAGTTATTCAACCAAAAACGTGAACTAATCGAGGAAAAATGAAAAATGCAAATTTTCCTCGTGTAATTTTACTCACTCGCAAGGTAAGCATAAAGTCTACAGCATAAAAAGTAAATTTTTCTAATTTAAGGAAGACGGAGAAGATGAGGATCTCGAGCGGATGATGGCTGCATCGGTGAACTCAATGAGAAGCCACGAGATCTTGAGCAAAGTGGTGGCCGAGTTGCAACAACAGGTTAGTTTTTGATAGTTGAAAAAAACTGTTATAAGCTTAAAGAAGTTATGATAGCTAGCAATATGCTATGCCAGTTACTTGTTACTTTATATCATAGTTGGGAGACTTAATGAGTGCTTGAAAGCTTATTCCAATACAACCCCTCTGCTCAACCTCGCGATTCTCTTCCAGAAACACGCTTATCCCTTAACTAGTCCATTGATCATCCCAATTTCTTTTCCATTTCCCCAAGAAGTGACAAGGGCATTCAATCTGATCATTCCTACTTTTTCTCCTTTCCACTTTTCGCATCCCATATTTCTTCCAGTTTTTACGAGCTCATGTGCTTGACGAGACAGTTGCTTGTCCAACAAGCCTCCCCACCCTATCAGTGTGTGAAATTTTTGAACTCTATTCTATTCTTTGTACTAGAAGCTTGTAATATTCTGTTTTCTAATGAGTAACTGGCAGCAAATCATAGCCGAATGGGATCCGATGGAGTCCGTTTACCTGAAAATGGCTAGCACGATGAGTGAAACGTTTAACTCGCTAGAAACGCGATCGGTAATGAGAAAATTTAATTCAAGAAAAGTTTAGGCTAGATAAAAAATAAGAATTAGATAATTGATCCAAATATTATTTACTTATAGCGGGACTCTTGTCAAACGGGATCAGCGACGGGGACTGCAAGTGAAATGGACTTGTACCGACGGGCGAGTCAGCTGGAGGGCTATGCTGCTGAGAGGATAAAGGTTTGTAAAGATGTTCATATTTTTGTAAAACGACACTGTCTTCACTTTACAATAAGTGTACCATAAAAAGGTTAAACAATCTTGCCAAAGAATTTGAGGATCAGTTCAACTTTATACGAATACTTTTTTTCCAGCAACTCGACGACGAACGAAAGAAAAAGAAACAGAAAATGTTGTTGAATTGTTGCCAACAACAATCGATGACCTCATCAAGCAGCACTGTCAATAATTGGGAACAATTGGAGAAGAAACGGGAAAAGGAAGAGGAGAAACGACGAAAGGAAGAGTTGCGAAGGAAAAGGGATCAGCTGAAAGGTTAGTGCGGTGAAAAACTATGATTTATATGGTTGGGCATTGACGCATTATAAATGTACTGATAAGGGAATGTCAACTGGGTGTGGTGGCCAAATTGTAAAGCTTATTCGACGTGGAATTCAACGCCGATTCTGAATCTTTCCGAATCCAAATCTGAAGCTTTCCATTTCTGCTATGGACACTGTCAAAAGTTATAAGCGTGTAAAGTTGTATGGAATTTCAAAAATCACCCCGAGTTTATAACCAGATTTCCCAGAGACCTTAAGAAGCAGCGGTGGCCGAGTGGCAGTGGGTTAGAATACAAGGCAAATAATCTCTAGTTCGAGTCCCCCTTTCTACTTTTTTCTTTTGCTTTTTTAAATTTGCAAAGTTTTTCCGTTTCAAATACAATTTTATTTTAATCTACTTTTCATAAAAATGTTTACTTTTAACTATTAAAATCAAAGCTTCTTAAAGATTATGACAAGTCATTTTTTAGCCGAAGAACAAGAGCTGCGTCGTCAACGGGAGGAAATTACGCGATGTCTTGACGATCATCCACCACTTATCCCACCAATCGCGCAATCGATTGCTCGACAAATCACCCAACAACTGCATCGGTTTAACATTGGAACCAGGTATGTGGCAAGTCTTTATTTATTTTCCACTGAAACTTCTTTTGTCAAAACCCACACTATTCTAATGAACACAAAGCACTTTTGAGTATTTCTAACTTTCACTCTCTTTCCTGTTCTCACAATGATTTATCAAAATCTTTGAACTCAGTCGCTGAGCACTTTTTTCAATTTCCAGTCCGCATCGTGTCCCTCATGCACTTCGTCCTTCCGATTCACTTCCATCCACTCCGTCGATTTCTCACCGAAAATTGCCCGCCTCGCACATTCCAAGAGCACCCTCACTCAGCAATATTGACTCTAAGGAATCGTCAATCAGGTGTGTTACACAAAAAAGCAAGTAATGATCGATTTTTCACACCTTCTCAAAACAGCAGCATTTTCCAAAAACCAACACAATTACGAATTTTAGAGAGAACGGCCGGATCACATCGCAAAACGGGAAACCCCTGTGCTTTCAACCGTTGGCCCCAAAGACGACGAACACTCAAATGCGGCATCCATCTTTCCGAAAGGACAGCAGAGAGTCGAGGAAATCAAGGTGAGCATAGAATTGTGAGCTTTAAGCATAGAATTGTCAAAACAAGTCAGCTTTAAACTTTGCAACTTGAAACTCTTTTCAGCAGCAAGACGCGTTCAAGAGAAAGACGAGGAGGAAGCGATTCTCAAAAGGAGGAGATCAGTCTACGCTCGCCGTACGCAAAAGTGAGTTAAATTTTACAAAAACACTTGCCGGTTCTTGTCAATACAGAAATACAGTGTTACTAGACTTTGAACTTACTACAGGGTGTCCCAAAATTTTGAGGCAACAATTTTTTACATTAAAATCAAGTAAATTAATACCTAAATATATCAAGCAATGTTATTAATAAGGTTTATTTTTTAAAATGATCTCAACTGAATTCATACAGTTAGAGAAATAACAAGCAATAATAGTTGTTGCAATAGTTTGCAACAACTATTTGCAACAGGGACACCCTGTAATGAACTCAATAAACCAGCTGTTAAGCCATCAACTAGTGTTTTCTCTTGGCGGCGTGAATGAAGAAATGGGAAGATGATGAGCATTACCCAATCTTTTTCTCTCGCTGGGTCCTCAATACTGGCACAGACGATTCAATTTGCATAAAGTGATTAGAATTTGGGGGTGAGAAAAGGAGTGGGGAGAGAGAATTCCGGCGAGGGAATTCCGGCATACGGAAAAGGGAAGACCGGAAATGAACACCCGCTGATTTCAAGGGGACACAATGTATTCATTCGGGATTGGATATTTGGGGGTTTTCAGAAATTACGAAAAAATGACTCTTACAGTATTTAGCTCTGGAACTTCACATGCAATAAAAACAATCAAACTTTTTAGGTCACTGAAGCCAAGAAGGAATCGGGTTGTGGCTCGTCGGGGCGGGGATCCGATGATAACGCGAGTGGAATCGCATCACATCAACTCAAAAGATCGACTAGTTATAGGTGAGTTTATAGAATCTTATAGATAAAGGAAAAAACTTATTTAAAGTAAATTTAGGAATCGAAATCGAGACAGCTATTCGGCTAGTTCGGGCTATGAAAGTGCCGCCGACTATCATCGTTTCAATGGGATGGATCGGTTGAGGATGTTGCCAAAGGTTCGTGGATAAGTAAACGGTATAAATGGGGATTGGGAAACTAGAATTAATCTAGCTAAATGAAAGTAACAACCATCAACGTTGAGAAAATGCTTTGTAAGCTCTCGAAAATTTCAGAGATCCACCTCAGCTGTGCGCGAAATTGAACAACTCAAAGAGGTGCAACGGCGCTTGCGAAAAGAATTGACAGGTTAATTAATCCTTCCTTCTTTCTTCCTTCCTTCCTTTTTTTCTTCTCTGTTGTCTTTCCTCTTTCTCTTAGCAGTTAAGGTACCGGATAGCTCAGTGTTTAGAGCAATTGCTCAGAAAGCAAGAGGTCGAGGGTTCAATCTTCTCTCCGGAAATCAACTTTTATTTGCCAATTCCTTCACTTCTTTATTAATGAATTCTCTAAAATACACAATTCTTAAGAAAGTTTTAACCTGAATAGATTCAGACATACATATCTCCAATTAACGTACCACAAGATACTGTACAAAATGCACTCTACGACCGTAAACTTTCATATGCGAATTTACGAATTCTCAAATTCGAGACTATGAGTTGAGTCCAATAGACCATCAAACACCAATAATCGTTAATCTGGAGACTCATAACATATTTCAGCCGCGCACGATCGTTTGGGGCAGCCAAGTAACGATTTATGGACGAGGGATCACGATTTGAGCCTAGCTTCACCCCAAACCATCGTTGACACTTTGAAACAGGTTAGAGATATTCTAACAAAAGAAATAATGAAATTTATCACTAACACTGTGAAACTCGAAGCTAAAAGCCATTTCAGGAAAATCGAATCCTCGAGAAGAGACTGCTCGCTTGTCAGAATCATTGTATGCTGGTTACCGCATTTGTGTGATCATTTCATAGTATTAGCTTTTATTGCCCTTTCAATCTACCCGGTTGTGCCTAAATTTTGTTTAAGAATTTTGCAACTCTTTAGTGCTCCAAATCCAGTGTCAGGAATTTTTTTTGATGGGCCTTGATCAATGTGATTTCTCCCTTTCCACCTTTCTTAAAACCTCTAAATTTTGTTGATTATTTTGCTCAACCATTTAAAAAGCTAACTTCTAAAATGTGATTCAAATGAAAGATGTTATTTATCAAAGCACGTTAAACATAAACCCTTAAAAAAATAAGCGATTAATACTTTACAAAGAAAAAGCAATTCAATGCAAAGCTGCACAATGGCTAAGTAAAGTATCACAGGAAAGCAAACACGTAAAGGAAAAGAAATTATACACCTATACGCATGATATCATGGGGAAAGACTTTAACCGTGTTTCACTAAATGATCAAGCAATAAGGGAATTTTGTAAATCATAACAGCAAAAAATATGTATTTGAACTTGAGGAAACTTTATAAATGACTTGAACACTACTCTAAATGTAAAGCTATTAAATGTCAAAGCCTACATTTCATTCTATTCGCTCGACACCTTGATCCGGTTGTAGCATTTTGTATGCAGTGACGTCACTCAACAGTGTTTCCGAATCACCGCCAGGCACCGTCGTATTTGTTGGCTTTTCTTCTTTAACCTAAACAAAAAAATTAAGCAGTGCTAAGTATTTTAAATAAAATTAAGAGCTTGTCTTTTGTCCATAAAAGAGGCCTTTTTAAAGATTTTTAACAAGGACCCATAAAAACGAAAAACTTTTCACCTTTTTCTTCGGACTTGCTTGCCCAGAGTCTTCCCTCTCATTTCGATCCCATTCATCGACGCTTTCTCGTGCTTTGCACTCCGCATCTGAATCGGTAAGGCCAGCTGGAGGTTCACTTGTATCTCGGCGAGATCTAACACACTTTTTAAGTCATAAAAGAAGTTATAAACCTGGACAAATTAACAAAGCTTTTTGCTCGTCTTGGTGTTCGTTCTTCCGCAGTGATCTTCGGGGTGACAAATGAGCGATTTTCAAGCTAAATGATTATTTTTAAACATTTTAATTTAGAATTTAGTTACCTTGAGATTTTCCAGTTGTGAAATCACTTCGGTCATCGTTGGTCCATTAATTCCAGGAGCTTGATGCAAAACGTCTAAATTCAAATTAAATGAATAAATACAATAAAACAAACCATTGAAATCAATAATACTAATCTTTGGGCTACTCGGAGCACTGCGACTCTTTTTCTCGACAAGTCGTTTTCTAAAAAAGAGCATTAATTAAACATGATATAACTAAAAATGGAGGTTTAAAAATATTTGTTCGAAAATATAAAACATTTACCTGAATAGATTCATTTCCGCCCTTGCTTGAAGATCTCGATAAGTGCTCACGTATTGGCAGGCTTTTCTTAGCATCAATACACCATTGAAAACTTTCAGAACGACGAGCAGGAGCCAAACTAAGCCTAAAATCAAACATTTAAAAGCACTTGATTTTTTTCCATACAGAGAACCAAAATGCTCGACACGTTGTTGAAGGAGAACGTTTGACTGATGACTCGAATGATCATTATTGAGAGAGGAATCGGAATGAAGCCCATTCGACGAGAAACCTGTAACACACATCAAACTCTAAATCCGTTTGTTTCCAACCTGATCTGAGTAATCCGAATAAGCAGCTTCTCCTCGACTTTTTACCACATCAAAAGCCAATGTTAAGGTAAAATCTAAAGTTTTGGAAAATGGAAAACTTGAAAATGAAAACCTTTATAAACATCCGCATTAATTTCGTTGAACTTGGTTATAAAACCATGTTTTAGATAGTCAACAAGTAGCTCGGCAACCCAGATTATCGCCTAAACAATAGGATTGATGAAAAATATTTGAGAATCTACCAAATCGGGAAGCATTTCAGAGAAATGATCGATACTCCAATTCACCGCCATCATGTTTCTTAGCAGAACAACAACGAGTAGAGCAATGATGTGGAATCGTTCGCGAACATCACTAAATTAAACAAAAACGATAAAAGATCTCATCACAATTTATTTACCTGCAACTCATTTGAAAGAGATTTGCCTTTGCGAACTTTTTGAAAACCGATCCTTTGATCTCAACAAAGTTGTTGCTCATCATAATCATCAAAAGAGATTGATTATGTGAATTGAAAGCGACGTTCAGCGTTGTCGCCTGAATGTTCAATGTTGTGGCCTGAAGAGTCAAATAACCCCTTTAACTAGAATAGGTAGTTACCATTTCCCCCAAAATATCTACCTGTAAAAGAACCAGGAAAGTGTGTGAGATCGCGTAACCGACGGCAAAAAAGAAATGAAGCAGCGTCCAGAAAAAATTGCGAATGCTCTTTGGCTCATTTGCGGTCCAGAAAAGAGAGTCCAACACATCCTAAATATCCATTACATAAATTTTGTTTCAATAATGATTTACTTGTCCTAAACTGCTGAAAAGCTTGTCGGCAACTTCCAGCATATTGAAAAACATGTAGAGTTTGATCACACCCTGTCCTCGAACCTAAATTTAAATTTTAAGACAAAGCCAATTTAAGAAGCCACCTGATGATAGACCATAGACGTATCAATATATTGCATTGCATACGAAGAGAAGAGAATAATGCCTACCTATAAAAAGCTGAATCTTAATAAAAATGTTATCCTTACTTTCAAAATGTCACAAATTTCCGCTGCTGTCAAACGGCGTAATCGAAAAATTAATCCCAACAGTGAAAGCTGAAATTGCTTAGGGTCAGGCTTGAAAAAACAATAACTTACTATGAATCGAATTGGCAAAAAGGTAAAAAGGTAAAAGAAGGCATCAATACATTGCAGCATTCCAAAGAAGATAAACTTTTCGAGCTCGTAAGGTATTCGAAAGAACGCGTAGACTTTGCGGCGTTTTTCGGTATATCGTGCCTGGTCACTGTCCAGCGAATATCCCCTAAACATAAAATAGGATTCAAATACGAACCAAAACCCACCTCGTTAGTTCCGACCAAAAGTACGAGAAAAAGCCGACATTTGGTAATTCTTCCTTTTTCTTTCCTTCGTGCAAAAGCCGTTCCTGAGAGTGACTGGTAGTCGGAGCGTCTAGAACATTTTCTAAATCTATCCACATTAATGAAAAAACAAAAACAGAACACACCTTCATCTACCAGTATCGTCAGATTTTCGTTTACCGTAACTTTCGAGGGCCTTTTAAGCAACAAACCGCGGTTCTAAATAGAAAGAGTAAATCTAGTTAGAATATAAACACAAACTTCATGTTCTTCCTCGCTTCCAATGTGAAAATCGGTGCTATCCTCACGTGATTCCTGCTGGAGATCTTTGGCTCGATTTCGACGTCGATACAGTGAGGTTTCTTCCATCAAATCTAAAACAAGTGATTGAATAAGATGATTTTAAAAGTTCAAAAGAAGTTCAACAGTTCAAAAGATGTGAAAAATCTTAAAATTTAATAAAATCTAAACGATTTTAAAAGGTGAAGCCTTCAAAATGTTGGACAATTTCGTTGTGCACCAGCTAAATTCTGCAAAAATCAACACAGACAAACTTCTTGAACATTTAAGTTAGAAAGATTTTAGATTTTCTTAAAAGTCGATAGAGCTGGAAAGTTGCAACGAACAATGTGCAAACAAATTCTTCGAAGGAAGCTACGAAACAGTTCACTCTAACTTACGCCCTTTCCACCGTACTCCAAAAAGGGTCTCCAAAAATTCCTCGCGTTTGTTTATTCGATCACTTCTCCACAAGAATGTTTTGAAATCAGTTCTTTCTTTTGATCAAAAAAAAATTGATTTCTTGTAAATCATGTGCATTCTTTCATGTAAGCATCTTTTGTGAATCTAGCGCTTTAATTGTTTCAATGGGCCTTAATTACTTTTAATGTGAAACGCCCATAACGCGCAATGTTAAAGTTGATTATCTAGTCTTCTGATTCCCTTTTGATAGTCCCCAACTGCGATCTCAATCTTCTGGTTACTTAGGCTTTATCTTGATTATCCGCTATAGCGTGCTTTCTGCATTATCTTTCTAATCAAATATCTAGTTTTTCTTTTTTCAGAACATGAAGTCGATGCTTATCGTGCTTTTGCTGGCTCTGGGTGTTGTGGAATGTGTTCAAGATCATTGGTTCGTCAAGAACCAGGTCACCGACGAGAGTTGCATCATCATTGATTCGGATGCCACCGGATCAATCAAGATCAACGGCAAGGATGTGCCCTTCGTTTTTGCAAACGAAACAACAGCTGGAAGCGGATGCCATGAGTCCTACCAGGCGCACCTCGCCAACAAGCTTGTGCTTGATTTCTACCCACAAGAGATGGACGAAACGGAGGCAGCCAAGTGGTCAATGAGCTTGATCTTCGTGAAAACCGATGAGAACAACTCTCGTCTTGCCAACTGGAACTTGACCACTCACAACATTGATGGTACCAACTTCACGGTCGAATCAAATTTCACGCGAGAAGGTGATGCTTCGGACGCCGTCAAGTCTTCGATTCTGGAAGGATACCGCTGCTCTTCTTTGGAGCTTCACTTCCAGAACGACACGACGGTCACTTTCAACAACATCAGCGCTGTCGCTTTCGGAACGATCAATGGTACGGTGCTCCCTGCCGACATGAAGTATCAATTGTGCCCCAAGGATACCCCTTCGAAGACATCGGCTGTTGTCCCAATCGTCGTCGGATGTTTCTTGGGAGGTCTCGTTTGCGCCGTTCTCATTGCTTATATGATCGGCCGTTATCGAGCTCGCTCTCAAGGCTATGCCTCCGTTTAAATGAACATTCTTCAACTCCTGTTGCATATATTGTGTTGCAATCTTTTGTTTAAAATCTTTTAAATTCTTTTTGTTCTCATGCTACAACTTATTCATGGTACTCCTCATCCGGGTTCTTTTTCTCACCACTTATGCATAGTGTATTTTCCGTTGCATATTACATGTTTTGCTCTGAGGATAAATTATTTAAAATTAAGGGTATGGCCACGCAACGAGCTCTAATATCAACTCGCCCGATTGTCTACCGCACGTTCAGGCGAAGTGCTTCAAACGATCTACACACGTAAGTGGGCTTGCGGTTATAGTAATGTTGCTAACTTAAGAAGCGATAGTATAAAAGTGAAGTTGCTCAATGGTAATTTTATTTTTTTTTAGAAACCCGAAGGCTTTATGGAAGGAAATCAACCGACTTGGCTCGGAAGGAAAATGGGATGCAATTAACAACAAACCCGAGATGTTTTTATTTGGTGGTGCTAAACAAGATGCTTATGGAGTCTACAAAGCCTTTGTAAGTTTAAACGTTTTCTTTTCGCATTTAAGAATGGTTTTAGAACAAATCAACAAGTTGGTTTGACAGCTCGGCCTACGGTCCGATTTTCTCGCTTGTATCTCGTTTCATAGCCCCATTTAGTAAGTTATTTTCGGTATATTACATAATCTTTATTTTGATGAAATTATATGAACATGGAAAGCTGAGATGATTGTTTAAGAAACGGGCATAGTTTATATTTAGTGCTCGTTTGGGTTGGCGTGATGATTTACGACACAATTGTGCCGGAACAGAAGAGGCTTCACTACAAGTACCAGCAGCATCATGGACACGAAGAGGAGCATGGGCATGCCGACTCCCACACACACCACTAGGAAATAAAAGTTTATGATTTTTTTGTGTTCGTGTATATAATTAGATGCATAAATTTATCTAGATTATGGTTTTTGAATAAATAAAGGACGAAAAAGTATTAAACAAAATGCACTTTATTATTGAATCTTGTTTGAAAGTGTTGTAATGTCGAAGTTAACGGGCGTTGGAACTTGTAGGTTGAAGGATGGTACAGTTGTGGCGAGTGGAAGCTCGTAAGGCATTTGTAAGCAGATGAGTTGAGTATCATATCTGAGTATTTAGCACTTGCAATTATTACTTACACAGTGTGATAAATACCGGCAAATCGCAGACCCTTGAATGATTGGTAGTGAAATGATTGTTAATAGCAAAATACATGAAAACATTTTTTTCAAATAAGGCAATTAGGATGTTATGAATGTCTGGCCGCTTGTCCTTATTGCCAAAAGAGACAACACTTGAGTTATTTGACCACACATACTTGACAGGGCAAGAGCCAATTTCCACACTCAATCTGGAAGAAGGGTTGTTTGAACTAGAATGGTTTCGAAGCGAAAGTCGGGCAGGAGTTTTTGTTATGATCCTCGATTAGAGGCTGCGCTCTTTCCAAGGAACACTTTCGATGAATCGAAAATCTATTGGCAGATCGGCAGACGCAGTCAACGAATGCTCTCACCTTTAATATTCTTTTTCTCAACACTAATTTCTCTAGTTCATTCTCAGATTAACAACAAGTTTGTGGATCTTTTACTTGAGTAACTAAACCGATCTTTAGTAGCCCCGATAAGGGTATTTCTGGCTCATCACTACTCACACAATCACACAATTTGGTTGTGCCAGACTTTCAACGGATTTACGATGGGGAGATCCAGAAGCAACTCGATGAGCTGACCCTAAAAGAAAGAGATCTGGTGTAACTTTTTGTGGCCTTTCTTTATCATGCAAAATTTGATTAGAGGAGACGCCTTCAGCTGTATTCACAGCAAATTCCAACTTCTCAACAGTTCGGTCAATTCGGCGGGAATTATGCGATAGCTCCATCGCAAATCTCGACTTCGAGTTTTTTTCTCCAACCAACTGCACGTGGTTTCGTTCAACAGAACCCAATTTTCACGACGAATCCCATTTCTCGACCCACTTTTATCCCCGAAACGAAAGCGACAAATTCCCAGGTTTAGTAGGTAAATTTAAATACATTAATGAAACTTACAGGAGCTTCAAATGAAACTCCGTAGAATATTCCCGGGGCAAGAATTTCGGCCTGAAGCGCTGAAAAATTTCGAGCTCTGGAGCAAGAATTGGAACAGTCCATATAAAAAGGTGATCAAAAAAAACTTTGGATACTTTCAATGAGCTCCAAAATTTCAGACTTTCCCAATTCGAGTGATTCCAAAAGGAAGATTGGTGCAAGGAGTCCGACCAACGACTCCGAAACCAAAGCTTCGACAGGGAATTCTCATCACTGGATCTCCGCGAAAATCACTGAAGAAATCGGTTAAAACTGTGAGTTTTCAAATGGGGTACTTGTTTATGCATTCTTGTCATCGGTTAATTCTTTATACAGGGTGTCCAATCAAAAAAGAAACGTTTTCAAACCGGAATTTCTCAGAATTTCAGAATTTCTAGTGGCTAGAGTACTCACACAATCACACAACCGAATTGTGTGATTGTGTGAGTAGTGATGAGCCAGAAATACCCTTATGACACCACACCGACCACCTCTAGCCACTAGAAATTCTGAAATTCTGAGAAATTCCGGTTTGAAAACGTTTCTTTTTTGATTGGACACCCTGTGAGTTTACATTTTTGAAATTTTCAGAAACCCTCAACAAACGATCGTTTCCCGATACCGCCTCCATTGAAAATCGACGAGAAAGCGGCGCTTCGAAAGATGAAAAGATCGCGAAAGAGGTTAAAGAAGAAAAGTTTGGCTTCAAATGCTTCAAATCCTTCAAACCCTTTATCTCGAAAACTAAAAACAACAAATTTCAAAAGCTCCCATCAAATTCCGAATCTTATTTCAAGAGCTAGTCGAAACATTGACAAAAACCAAGCAATTATCTCAATCAAAAAAAATTCTCAGTCAAAAACACGGCCGACAAATTTAAATGAATCACATGATTGGGAAAAACGATCGAAAATTAGCGGTGAAAGACGAGAAAACGGGCGAAAACTGAATGCCATCGAATCGGAAAACTTTTTTCCCGAAATGGGAAAAGTGAGACTAGGTGAGTTGAAGAAAAACCCCTCACCGGCACATTGGAAACGATTTATCGGTGAGCAGAAGAATTTTACGACGAAGAGTTTACTCGTTCGAAGCGATCGTCCGACTGTTTACTTGCTAGACTCGAGCGTTGAAAGGGTTCACAATTCTCAACGTTTGACAAAAGGCCAAATGTTGTCGAGTCAAACAAATCAACTTTTGAAAGCAACAAGCCAGAAAGCAACTCGAAAATATTTTCTAATTGAAGAAAGTTCAAGTTTGAACTCTCCGAAAGCACAAAAAGTTTCCAAAGTGTTGACATCGACTTCGGATGTTCAAAATGTTCAAGATGAGGCAAGGTTTTCTCAGTTTACTTCGAGAAAACTCGATTCAATGAAGTCGAGCAAAAATCGAAGTTTAATTGTGGAAAATGATGTGATTTCGGAAGGTCGAATACTTCAAAATGGGATAAATGCTGATGTTTTTGGGCAGATGTTTGCAAAGATTTTGAAGAATCGCCAAATGAAGAGAGGATAGCATTGCAAATGGATTGAGTTAAATATAAGTTTAAATTTTCAAGTTTTTAGTGTTATAGTACTGATTAGCAACTGATTCCGTAAGGGTTTTTGGTGTTCAAGAATCGGAAAACGTATCCTTTCGCATGTTTAGAAAAGAAATTTTTTTTGTGCTTTTTTTTGTGCTTTCATTTTTGAGCACAACGTATTGAGAATGAAATGGCGGCATCTTGTAGCTCTGTCAATTTTAAATTAGTTTTTAATGTCATATATACACGTGTCTAATTGTAGTTGTGTTTGTATATCAATTATCTTTCTTCGTCTACGCTTTTCAATCTGTTTGCATTGTCACTTTTCCTTGTCGGATAAAGTATATATATCTTTGGCCGAAACTAAACGAAATTTTACGAGAAACTAAACCATATTTTTTCTCTAATGATAATTGAAGTTTTGTTGATTATATACCGAAATTTCATCTCAATCTGATGCACAGTTTTTGTGAAATTGGAATTGATATGCTAAAGGTTGATTTATGATTAGCAGCATCGACTAGCATCTACTTCAACATCAAACCCATCCGGATTCTCATAGTCAGCCGCTTCCACCTCAATGGGCATCCACAGTACGCTTATTTTATAAGATCTCAATTTCAATTATCGCAATTTCAGCTCAAACAGTTTTTGAGAAATTGGAATTGATGTACTAAAGGTTGATTCTTGTCTAACTTTCTCCTGAAAATCGAGAAGCGCTAGTGATTTGTAAAAACGATAGATTCGAAAAGCATTTAAGCAAATATGTTTATACATTTTATACAAAATTGTTAACCAAAATAAACATGAAATTAAAAATAAATTTTTGAGGACACAGACGTTTTTCAATCCTTCATTTTTACTATCGAATTTGCTTTTGTTATCTTATAAAATAAGCGTACTGTGGATGCCCATTGAGGTGGAAGTGGCTGACTCTGAGAATCCGGATGGGGTTTGATGTTGAAGTAGATGCTAGTCGATGCTGCTAACCATAAATCAACCTTTAGCATATCCATTCGAATTTCTCAAAAACTCTGCATCAGATTGAGATGAAATTTTGGCATATAATCAACAAAACTTCAATTATCATTAGAGAAAAAGTTATGGTTTAGTTCTTTTCAAAAGTTTCGGCTAAAGACACAGCCGTCTCAGCTTCCCTAGCATCACGCAAAGTATTGTAATCAACCATGCTGTCGTAGGTTCACGAACTTGCAAAGTGATACGAAGTGACACGAAATATAAAAGACTTGCAAAGTGACCAAGTTTATCATGATTAGCTTCGATCTAGAGTCTCGATAATATAACTTAAACTTTGAAAAGTATTCGTGACTTCTCGTGCAACTTTTCCTGTGCAAGATCGAATAAAAATTCTCATTGAATTTTGGCAAATCAAGTGAAAGTATCAAAAAAAAAAGCCAGCAGACACGATTTTAACCACTCAACTCAAATGTAGTTAATCAATTAACAATTACACTAGTGAGACAATCAACTGATCGACACAAAGAAACCCCATCAAAAATTTTCATTCATAAAAAGCGCACACGCGCGGGTCAAAGCGTTTCACATAAAACTGCCCGCCGGTGTTTCGAGTGCTTTTCATTAAACAAAACGTTAACTATTTGATCACTATTTGATCACTATTTGATTGAGATTTCTTCATTTAAACTATTTATTGAAAAGAAATCCTTCTGTTATCCATGAAAGAATGCATATTTTTCGCTTTTGTTTTGTTTTTGTTGACGGTAGAGGCTCAACGATGCCCATCAAAGTGCAGGTGGGGAAATTTGTTGATTGTTGATTAATCAATCCTTTAAGGCTCCTTTAAAGCTCCTCTAAAGCTCCTTTAAAGCTCCTTTATAGTTCCTTTATAGTTCCTACTTAGTTCCTTTATAGTTCCTTTATAGTTCCTTTATAGTTCCAATTTAGTTCCTTTAAAGCTCCTTTGATCGTCTTGCAAATCATAAGAACTAAAAGATTGAAGCCAGTAACCGAAAATTCTATTAGAATGACTGAACAAGGGTGTTTTTGTCCATTTTTGTGGGACAAACCCCAACGAGGTGCGCAGAATGATCGGCGGACGGTGATGTCACCATCGAAACGATCGCTCAGACGATTTGAGCTCATTCACGAGGGAGTGGCTGGTGATCGAGGAATTGCACCGGCACATTCAATAAGACGACGAACTGGGCTAAAGGTTTGACTTTTGCTATAAACTTGTCTTTGCAATAAGTCCACGAGTTTGCTAGACACTGGTATGTCTGCCTCTAGTAATGCCAAGTTTTCTGAAAACAATTTATCGAAGAACTTCAGCGTGACTACACCCCAGAAGTTGGCTACGAGTCGGTGCCAATCCGGGCACCGATTCCTCCTGTTGAAACCACATCCATCAACCCATACATTCCACCAAATCCTCCACTTGCACTCGCCCCGCCAAAGTCTGACGCAAAGATTCCAGCTTCAAATGTTCACAGCAATTCTGGTCATTCAGGAAATGACAATATGCCATCTGCTGTACCTAATCCATCACCTGGAAATGGACCCATTGAGGTGGAAGCGGCTGACTCTGAGAATCCGGATGGATTTGATGTTGAAGTAGACGGTGATCGCGATGAGAACATGGAGGAACCTGATGAGGAGTTTGAATCAGAACCGGAAAGTGCTGGAAGTAGTGAAAGTGGTGGAAGAAATGGAGAGTCAAGAGCAAAATCAAAAGTCGCACACCATCAGAAACCCATTTTGCCGCCACCACCACAACAGCCTCTCGTTTGGATGCCCGAGACTGGTGGAGCGTATAAGCCGCAGGTGAGAATTCGATGTTATCAGTTTAAAAAATGTTTTCAGCTTGGTAAAGCCGGCACTGATGGAGAAGAGGACGAGGATCGCACGGTGATCATTGAAGTGCCTAATGGAGCTCCTCAACCGGATCATTATCTCCCGCCACCTGCCGGCCCAGCTGGAAAGGTAGAGATTTTGGCAATTGCAAACTTCTCTAGAAGATAAATCAGTAAAACTTTTTCTTTCTTGACTCGAGCGAACTTTTAGGTTTCTGAACTGCCCGCACGCTTCAACTTTATCCTCCCTGAAGAGGACACTCCAGAGAATCCTCAAGGAACCGTCCCGAAAAACCCAGCCCTACTGGCTAAAGGATCGCTGAAACCAAAACAATCAAAAGTATTCTACTGAAATTTTGGCACAACGTATCCCTGAATCTTTAGGTTTACGATATCGTGGTTTCGGATGGAAAAGGAACTCCATCACCGAGAACAACCACCACTACGACTACAGAACCGCCATTTGAGGTAATAATAGTAAATAATATTTCGTAAGCTATCCCATTGATTCTATATTTATCAGCAGTTTTTCAAGCGGAAATCTTGAAGTAGAAGTAGAAGTAGAAGTAGAAGTAGAAGTAGAAGTAGAAGTAGAAGTGGAAGTAGAAGTAGAAGTAGAAGTAGAAGTAGAAGTAGAAGTAGAAGTAGAAGTAGAAGTAGAAGTAGAAGTAGAAGTAGAAGTAGAAGTAGAGTAGAGTAGAGTAGAGTAGAGAAGTAGAAGTGGGGTGGAGTAGAGTGAGTAGAGTAGAGTGAGTAGAAGTAGGAGAGTAGAGTAGGAAGTGAGAAGTAGAAGTGGAAGTAGAAGTAGAAGTAGAGTAGAGTAGAGTAGAAGTAGAAGTAGAAGTGGAAGTAGAAGTAGAAGTAGAAGTAGAAGTAGAAGTAGAAGTAGAAGTAGAAGTAGAAGTAGAAGTAGAAGTAGAAGTAGAAGTAGAAGTAGAAGTAAACAGTTAGCTTGTATTCTCACGAATTCACTATTTTGTGTGTGTTTGTGTTTTGGACAAACAAAAAGCTTTTAGGTGGCTCCTCCATTCTTGGGAGATCCGCAACTTTTGAGCGCGGTGACAGGTTTGTTGAGTGCTGGAGCTCTATTGCCGGCTCTTGGTCTTGCTGATGGATCACCGCAATCGTTCGGTGGAACTGGTGGGCTTGGTGGTTTGGGAATGGGTGGTGGATATCCTCAAACACCATACGGCCGACCATTGGCTTATTTGCCACAGGGTGGTGGCGGAGCTGTGCCTGCGGGTGGAGCTGGCTTTACTGAGGTTCACTGATATTTTCGTCACTTTCAATCATCAAATCATTCAGGTAACCGGGCAAACAAAAGGTGGCTTTACAGTGAAAGGAGCTGGCGGTATCAATAATTCCGGTGTTTCCGGCTTCTTCGTGCCTGAAGACAATGGAGAAGAGGTTGAAATAAAGCGATAGAATTGAAAGTGATCAAAGACAATCATTTAGCAAAGACGATCATCCAACTCCGAGTTGGTGATTGGTGGGCCAGCAATTGAGGCAGGCAGTGCCGGTTCGATCAATGGGGAAACGATTGCCGAAGTGAATCCCGGATCATTTCCCGGGTCAAGGGTCAGGAAAATTGTTAGATCAATTTGTTATATCAATTTCAAGAGTTCAAGAGGACAAAAAAAAGCGCTATAAGATAATAATAAGCTAAAAAATGTTCTTTTCAGATTACAAGTCTTGGCGAAGCTTGGGGAGGGATCAATCCATTCCAATGGGAACATGGACAAGGCACTCCGATACCACAAATACCTACATAAATATTGATAGTTCAGAATTTGAAAAGGATAAATAAATAGTTGTTTTTTTTTTTAGCAATGTTTAATGTCTAGACATTTTATAGAAAAAACGTGTTTTGCCAGGGTTTTCAGTTTTATTCGAATTTCAAGAATGGTTGTGTGCGGGGGAAAGAAAGGTGCCGACCTAACACGGTGAAAGATTACGATCTACCTGAACACCCACATTTCAGATTTTTCAAGAGATTTTTTTTGGCAAAATGTATTTCATTTCAAAAATGGTGGACGACAAAAGACGACAAAAGATGACAAAAGCCGCGAAGAAATCTCCCGAAACACCTTCAACCAAACGACATCTACACTACTGGACAATGAAATATCATATTTGAAAAAAGATCGTCACTTTCGCGCGTCGGTAACTCCCTTGTCTTTACCGTATTTCTAAATATTAATATTACCATTGTGTAGCCCTTGAAAAGAGCTTTCAGAAAATATATAGCACTAATAGTTTAAACGCAAAGACAAGGGAGTTACAGACGCGCGAAGGTGACGATCGTTTTTCAAATATGATATTTCATTGTCCAGTACTGTAAATATTTCCGGCAACGATAAAACTGCTTGGGTTACTATAATATCTACTAGACGGGCCACGGGTTACACTAAACGAGTCACACTTTAAGATTCCAACTAAACTTTCCCGGTTATCGGGCATTTTATGTACGCCCTGCCCCTTTTGCCATTGGCAATCCAACTTTGAGATCAAATAGTTACAGACGGGAGTTACAGACGCGCGAAAGTGACGATCTTTTTTCAAATATGATATTTCATTGTCCAGTACTGTACTTTGACCATCAAGGCGCTGCCACATCAGCTTTTTAAACACGATAATAATCATTATCATTATCATGATCATGATCGTGTTATCATAGAGTTTATCATCATACATTGCTTCATACATTTCTTGCTACTATTTGGTTTCTTTGCTACCGCTGAATAAAAGAGAGAAAGGTGCCGACCTAACACGGTGAAAGATTACGATCTACCTGAACACCCACATTTCAGATTTTTCAAGAGATTTTTTGGCAAAATGTATTTCATTTCAAAAAGAGAATACTTTTCCAAACGAATTTATTTAACTTTCGCTTTATGAAACTTTTATGATCTTTAACTCTGTTTAAGAAAAGAATCTCTGTTTAAACCTTAGACTTTTACAAGTTTAAATACAATTACAACTAATAAACTTACATTTTAGTAAACCCCTAGTCATTAATCTTTGAAGAATCTTCAGCTTTTTTTGAAAATACGGATTTGCCAATTTTATTCTGAAGAAGAAACTGGATTTACAATAGTTGACAAGATTAGATTTTTGTTAGATTAGATTATATTTGCATTCCACTCTATTTTCTAGAACTATTCTTCTTATTTGTTGCCATTGTGCTCTGTCTCTCTTGGATTTCTCAAATTTCCTGAATCTGAAATTTCAATTTTCTCCCCATCACAAGAAGTGAAAGGGAATCCATTTTTTTGAAAATGCAGATTTGCCAATTTACAATAGTTGACAAGATTCAATTTTTGTTATTTGCATTCCACTCTATTTTCTAGAGCTATTCTTTTTCTTATTTGTTTCCATTGTGCTCTGTCCGATCTGAATTGATTCATTCAATTAGCTGGAAATAAATTCAATAAATTCAATTGGCGCTAATCACCGGCATTTCTTTTCTCAAATTTCCTGAATCTGGAATTTCAATTTTCTCCCCATCACAAGAAGTGAAAGGGGATCCATTTTTTTCGAAAACTCTGCCATTGCCTTGCTTGCGGTTGGATTTCGCATTTGAAACGGTGAAATGGCAGTTTCTCCATTTGAAATCCCTCAAAAACGGGTGACTGATTGCCGATTCTTTTCCGATCTCTTCAACCAGATGAAATCCTATAAAAAGATTAGCTATGAGGGAAAAAATGAATGCATCGAATGTGATAAATGAAAGTGATAACCGATCGGCTTTTTTTTATAGGATTTCCCAAAGAACAAGCCTATGAAATCTCTATGAAATCCGCGTTTTTATTGATAATTATAAAGTCTACAATTGGACTTATAAAAAGAGATAAGCAAAGCTGAACGGAAGCGTAAGGATTAAGGTTATAGCTGAAAAGGAGGAAGCTAAGCTGAACGAAGCGTTAAGGATAGATTATAACAAAAAGAGAGATTAATGCTAATAGCTGAATCGAAAGCGTTTAGCTAAGAAAACCATTAAGAAACACTGTGTGACGGACTTGATTGGCTGTGATAATGCAAGCTAAACGATTACTACTTGGTTGAGGAAAAAGTCCTGACTCAGCTGCGAAAAATTCAATTTCTATGCTCACTTTAATAACAAATATAATAACAATTATTCCTCCGAGTATCACCCATCATTATCTACGATTTTTCTGCAGCGTTCTGCAAGCTTTCGGATCTGATCGAAGTACCACTCTTTCGGTTTCGAATCAAAGAACTCAAGCCTCTTCAACGTCGTCAAATGTTTCTGTTTCAATAGTGGATCAAAAATCGAAGCTCTTTTTTTTGCAAACCCATCTGGAATACAAAGATCAAGATTTGTACAACACTATAAGCATAAAGCGAAAACCATAAAGCAATAAGCATAAAGCAAAAACCAGCAAAAAAAATTGAATTTTTCGCAGCCGAGTCAGAACTTTTTCCTTTACCTAATAAATCAAAATTACTGCCCTTTTAAAGGTATTCATTTAGCTTCATAGTGACATTTCCTCTTTTCTTTATCATTCAATGATGTCATTGATGAATTTCGAGACCGCTTTGCCGTTTTGTGTCCTTGAAACAAAACCAGAAATATTTGATTCAAGAGGAAAGCATAAAAGTCGACCCAACCTGCACAGGTTTCGAGAATTAGCCCTTGAAAACTCGCAGAAGTGTGAAGCGTTGAGAAGAGTCACCTAAGAAAGGTTGCAACATTTTTGCGTTGAATAAAAACACAATCTTTTTCACTGTAAGAGAATTCTAACATCATTGATAGATTAGCTGTGAAAGATTAGATTAGAAATCAGTCTTAGATTAGCTCTTTGATTCTATTAGAGAAAATTTCTTTGCCTAAATCTTTGTATTCATTTTTAAAAGTTCAATTATCAAATCCACTTCATTATTGACTTATTTTGCGACTTTTTAATTGCTTTGATTACTTCTAAAGTTTAAAAAATGCAGGCACATTGCTTACATTTCCAGTATCACCAAAACCGATCTTGAGTATAAGCTAATGAAAGCATAAAAGTCGATCCAGAAATATTTGATTCAAGAGGAAAGCATAAAAGTCGATCCAACCTGCACAGGTATCGAGAATTAGCCCTTGAAAACTCGCAAAAGCGTGTGAAGCTTTGAGAAGATTCACCGAAGAAAAGTCGCAACATTTTTGCGCGACATTTTAAATTGATTAAAAACTCGTCTATAAAAGTTAATGCCCTTTTGTTATGTTGTTATGTTGATAGGCTTGCAGAAAGCACAAGGTTAGATTTCTTTTCATAAACCTAATTATCATTTTTCTCCAAATAAAGCCAAATTTTTCTTTCCCCTCAATCAGCTGGATTTTCACTTTGCCTCTGAGCAATGAAATTCCTCCCACCGATCTTTTCTCCTCGCTGATTTGCGAAAAGAATTGATGACAGCTGATTCGATTCATTCACTTCATTTGCCAATTTTTTTTCTTCACTAATTCGCTATTTGGCAATTGTCATCTTGTTGATGAAGATGATGGAGTGAAGAGAAGTTTGGATTAAGCTGAACTTTCTCCATTTTTTTGTGGAAAGGCTGGAGTTTAGAGAATCCAGGAAACGAGATCAAAGAAGGAAATTTTGTTAAAGCCATTTTACAAATTGTCATCTTGTTGATGAAGATGATGGAGTAAAGAAAAGTTTGGATTAAGCTGAACTTTCTCCATTTTTTGTGGAAAGGCTGGAGTTTAGAGAATTCAGGAAACGAGATCAAAGAAGAAAATTTGTTAAAGTCGTCATCTTCCCTTCATCGTCATCTTCCCTTCACCACCAAAAAAGCTATTTAGTTCCCCATTGAGCTTAGGGTTAGGGAGCCGTCTGTCATGACGTGGGTTAATTTAAGATATAGCCTAGTATTGTGTGTGTCGTTGTATTTGTATTGTGATTGATATATTTCGTGTATGCGATAAATTCACCACTGGTAGCCCCAGTCGGTATTTTTTAAAGCCATTTTACAAAACTTTAAAGGGAAAACTCGTAAAGTTTAAACAAAATAGATTGGACTCATATTATTGACAGTTTTGCTAAAGAATTCCGGAGAAAACAAGGTTCTTTCTAGGATCTTTCTAGGGATTTCCCATAGCTAGCTGTCATGTTTTGCATTTTGGAAAGAAATGAAAGAATCGGCTTGTAAATTATGGTAAAAAGTGTGGGGGGCGAAGGTGGAAAGCACTAGAGGAAAGGGGGATCGTCCTGTCTTCAGAAAGGATTTCGAAAAAAACCAATAAATCTACCGGATCAGGAGGGAAAAGAGAGCAAAGTAACAATGAGAATTGTTGATGTTTTTGTTCTTTCAAGAAACAAAAACAGTTTCAGTCTTTTTGTTTCTTTCAAATATTATGAAATACGACTTTAAAAGTTCAGCAAAGTCCAGCAAAGTTGTGAGTTTTGCAAAGTTTTGAAAGTTTTGAAGCAAGTTGAGCAAGCAAGTTTTGAGCAAGCAAGTTTTGAGCAAGCAAGTTGAGCAAGCAAGTTTTGAGCAAGCAAGTTTTGAGCAAGCAAGTTGAGCAAGCAAGTTTTGAAGCAAGTTTTGAAGCAAGCAAGCAAGCAAGTTTTGAAAAGTATCCAGAGCTAAATTACTTGAGTTTAATTGAAGATTTGAAAGATTTTTATGGAAAAAATGCATACAAAAAAGCGAAAGCTCAAGGAAAATTGAGTATAATGAAGCTTAAGCTGACTAAAAATTCAAATTTCCATATGTGCTTTGGTCAACATTTTTTCCCCTTCCTCTCCAACACCTTTCA